GTGTGTGTGTGTGTATATATATATATATACACACACACACACACACACACACCCCTCAGCCTGTGTCAAGGCCGAGGTGTATATATATAACTTGACACACTAGGCCTATGACTTTTCCATCCATGAATAGATGTTGCTCTGATGCAACACGCTTTCAACCCCTCTGAAACTGGAATCCCTTTTGATAGGGACACTTCAGAGTCACAGAAGCTAGCAACGGTGGTCTTTGATGCTGTCCAGCCTCTGCATCAGGCATGAATTACAAGTAAATCTGTTGAATATCTGCATGTCTTAGATTTAGGTAGCTGCTCAGTGTTTAGAGCCCAGCATGTGGACTTTCTTCTCCACTACATCACCTTGGGGTATGGCAGAAAGATGGGAGGATTAAATTATTGTATCGGATGGAAAGTGTGTTCATTTTTGGAGTAGATTCCAGTGGGAGGGGCTCAGCATCAATGTAAAAAATACACAGTACTTTTCTTCCTTTAAAAAAAAAAAAAAGGAAACAAAACAGCTTTTCTTGTGTATGTAACGACAGTAAGGAAAACCATTGTAATTGGGCAATGAAATATATCCTGTCCCAGGGATTCTCTCACAGAACTAGTAATAACGACAGTACAATCCTCCTCACTCTGTCTCTCTCACTTCTGAGACAGAGGAATGAGAAGAAAATAAAGCCCATTGCCCAACCAGTTTTTGCCCTCTTTGCTGACCCCCAGTTTGAGAACCCCTGTTTTAGAACTATAGTGGTTTAAAAAACCTCTGAGATTTTACGTGGGTCACACATAAAACAAGCATCAGTTTTCAGCAGGTGTCAGCGTGAAAATAAACCCTATAAACTCTCCGTTTCTTTAAAAAAAAAATATTAGTGTGATCTGAGGCAGTGAAAGACTGAAGGGTTTCCCCCTCCCTTTAAGGATAACATTGGACTCTGAAATTAAGTGCAGCAGGTAGGAGATCTGACATTAATTCCAAAAGATATTGCTTGACTGTGAACTAAAATATTTTTAAGCCCTCAGGACCAGTCAATCAATATAGCAAAAAATGGTCATCAAACTAATGGAACTTTTTAATTCAGAAAAAAAAATTAGTTTTGACTAAACCACAGGTTACCCCCTAGTCGTTAGTTAATAAGATAGCATTTAAATCACCCACGTTCAGCAAACCTAGAAATGGTTCACTTGCCTGCTCTTTCTTCACAGGCGTACTATGTGCTGCCACAGCAGAGAACTGGTCTAGCGCGTTCTGATGCTCCTCACTGAGCTGCTGCTGCTGCTGGGCTTGAGGTTGTGCCCCAGGTGTCCCTTGCTGGGCAGGGGCTTCTTGCTGGTCTTGATCTTGATCCTTGGATTCAGAGTCTGATCCCGATTCTGTCGTCATGGTTGATTATGCTGTAAAACAAGATGGCCAGACCTACTCAATGTTATTCTTGCAGCTGCTGCTGCTGCTATTTTCTCTTTTTCAATTACATTTGAAAATGGAGAAAGACAATCACAATTTTTTTCGTCTCATTGTTTCTGGCCCTGAAAATCTAATAGTGTAGAGTGGATCATATTCATTTGTGGCCCACTCTGTTTGGTTTCTTGGAAAAGCATCTCTTGATGCAGAGGACTAGGACTAATTACATTTATGAATTTTAAGGAGGTTTATGCATCCATACTTTCACTCTTTATTGTCATTTAATGACCATATTGTAGCAAAAGTACATTAATATAATAAATAATAATAATAATAATAATCAGATATAATAAATTAATAGTGTTTGAAAGCCAATGAGTAAAATTTTCTAGAGCATGTAAATGACAGAGGAGCCTAAGTCCTATTGATTTTTCTAAGCATTTAAGAGCTCCTTAGTCTCACTCAAAGTCAATGGGATACTGGCTCCTTAGTTCCCAATTCACTTTTGAAAAAGGGACTTACGCCTTTTGCAAATTTTACCCAGTATCTTTAGTGTTCATATTTAACTGTTATAGAGAGATATTGCATGAAAATTAGCCACTTTGTTGCTATGAGACATGGTTAGCTTTTAATGAAGGTGTTACTATGAGCCAAATTCTGCTCAGTGACCTGAACTAAAGGGTAGAGGGTTATACTTACACAGGTTCAGTGGATGCACATAAAAATTCATTCTGGTTCTAGAGCTATTATTGATTCTAGCACTATTTCACATTTTAAGTCAAAGGAATCTCTCTGAAACCCACAATCTCTCTAAAATCAGTATGAACTTTTTAAGTACGCTCCCCACAGTCCCACTGCCTTCAATGAGGCTTTACTTGAATGAGTAAGCAGAATTTGGCCCTATATTTTATTCAGCCCCACACGGATATGATTCAATTATACTTTCATCATTCCCCTCAATACGCCTGAATATTAAAAACAAACAAACCCAAAAACGTTATTACTTTATCCCAAGATCTCTAAACTTTGTGGGTTTTTTAAAATTGAAACGACAAGAGGCCTCAGTATGAAAAGTGTGTGTTTGAGCTTATTTTCATTCAGTAATAAATCAACATGAAAATATTAGCAAGAAAATATTTCACATTAAAAGAACATTGTCAGCACAGGGCCTCATACCATAGAGGAACAAAACCCAGTTAAACACTGTCACAACCATTCTACATCAAACAAGGATTGGAAAGAACAGATTCTACATTAGCACAAGTGGCACAATGAATAAATCTAACATTATCTTCAATATTTGAACCTTGTTAGCCATCACTGTCTTATAGATCTACATCTTGATTTTAAGCTATTTAAAAAAAATATCAGGCTCTTGCAATCTATTTCTGTTCATCAAGTCATAATTTCTTTAACCTGGTAACCATAGTTACTTTCCAATTACAAGCAATTCCACAGAACATAAAGCCGCTTATTAATTTGGTATATGAGTCCACTATCAATTCCTAGATTAAACTAATGATGCTTGCTAGTACAATAAGTTTGGTTATCTCGGTTTGTTTTTTCCATTTTAACAGCTTTATTTTTTTTCCAGACCATTTACTAGGGTTCCATTGTTTTAAATGAAAATGTTCAGTAGGGTATTTGAAAATATAATTTGATAAGTCATTTGTCTATTGGTTGACATCTTCTATACACTGAAGACCAAATTTTCAAAGGGGCTCTGTTTGTTCATGCATAACTCTGTGTGTGCAATTTTTGTGCACTCTCTCTTGTGCACATAAATGGTGAATAAATCAGTAATGCTCAATGTGTTCAACTTTTGTGTAGGGTGTGTATGTAAATTCTTACACTGTATGCAACAAGTGATATGATGCAAAAATTGTGAGAGCAAACTGACACCACACTTTGGAAATCTGTCCTCAAATATTTAATCTATTACCTTATCAGGTATTTATTTAGAAGGACACATATACTTCTGTATACACTTCTTTCGCACAGGTATATAAAATATGTCCTTTAACAGTCTTATCATTTTAACAATATATAAATAAACTCAGAGAGGAGCAGGAGAGAGAGGAAAAAAGAATTGTTGGAGGTCATTTTAAAAGGGCTGATCATGGCTCAGAGTTCAATTCATTACGCTATTCATTTTTGTTTACTTTAAAAATAAATTGTAAAATAAGGTTAATCTCTTGTTGTTTTGCATTGCCCATCTGTCACATCAGCATGTAATGACCTATCCTTCATCTGATGCTACTACTGCCACTATTATAAACCACTGTGGTTTGAAGTGTTGTTATAGTCGTGTTGACTCCAGGATATTAGAGAGACAAGGCAGGTGAAGTAATATCTTTTATTGGACCAACTTTTGTCAGTAAGAGAGGCAAGTTTTCCAGCTTACACAGAATTCTTCTTCGGGTCAAAACTTGGAAGAAGAACTCAGTGTAAGCTGGAAAGCTTGCCTCTTTCAGCAACAGAAGATGGTTCAATAAAAGATATTACTTCACCACCTTTTCTCACTATTATAACCCACATTTTTAAAAAATACAGACTCTGAACAGAAAAAATCCTAAAATTTCCTCCCTCTAATTCTACACCTTCTTTTGTACAATTGAGAACATAGATAATATTATCTCACTACTCAAATATTCATTCAACAGCTTCAGTAACAAACTACTATATTTGGATTTTCTAGTTTACAAATATTAATGGATTAGCAACTAACCAAATTAAGTTACAACTACAAAAACCAATGACAAATTAACTCTCAATAGCATAAAATTATCAAGAGCATTATTTATAAAGAGCATAAATTATATATAATTCACTAAGATTTTTGCTCAAGGAGCCTAATTTTCATATTAGTTACACCAGTGTAAGTCAGAAGCAATTCCTGAAGTTAATGGAATTACTCCTGTTTAAAATGGAATCAACCCACTGTCTTGTCAGCTGGTAGAAATCAATTTAGCTCCAGAAAATTCACAGCCCGTGACCTGTCCATGACTTTTACTATATACTCCTGCTGCGGGTGCTCGGGGGGAAAGGGGACGCAGCCCAGGGGGGTGCTGTGAGTGCTTGGGTTGGGAGGGCTGGGGCACACTCCCTACCTGACTCCTGGGAAGCAGAAACCTCCAGCTCCTAGCACCACATGCTGCCTCCACTCCACTCCACCCCAAGCCTTGGTTCTGCAGTTCCCATTGGCTGGGAACTGCGGCTAACGGGAGCTGCGGGGGTCGTGCCTGCAGGTGGAGGCAGCACGTAGAGCTAAGAGCTGAGGGAAGGGAGTTCCTGTCGCCCTTCTGGGGAGCCCCCCCTCACCCCAACACCCAGCCCTGAGCCCCCCCACACCCAAATTCCTGCTGCTGGGGGGGCGGGCCCAAAACTGCCCCAGCAGCAGCCAGTGTGGCTGGCCCGGGGGGCTGCCCAAGCTCCTCAGGCAGCTCCTGGGCCATCCGCACAGGCCACCGCAGAAGTCACGGAGGTCACTGAAAGTCACGGATTCCGAGACTTCTGTGACCTCCGTGACAAACATGGAACCTTTTTTTCTTTTTAAGTGCACACTGCCACATGACCCAGCAAGCGCAGACAAACCCTGGCTGTAGTCAAAGGGAATGCAGAAACTTCCGTGATGAGGTTTGTCAATGTGTGGAAACTTTCCAGCGGCAAGAACGTCCTGGCACAGGTCGAGTTGAGGACCGCTCCGATGAACTCTATCCTCTGTACGGGCTCTAACATCGACTTTTTGTCATTTACCAGTAGGTCCAGAGAGCGGCACATGGCTTGAAGCACCACTACATAACATAACATAAGAACAGCCGTACTGGGTCAGACCAAAGGTCCATTTAGCCCAGTATCCTGTCTGCCAACAGTGGCCAATGCCAGGTGCCCCAGAGGGAGTGAACCTAACAGGTAATGATCAAGTGATCTC